CTTCTGCACCTTACTAGGGCCCTCAGTTGAGACAAAGCCTAGAGGAAATCTGCAGATTTAATATGCTCCTGTGATTCTAAAGTCCCACCCTCTTCTGGTTCTGGGGCTCTGCTCTCTGCTATTCTGTCTTCACAAGAGCCGTCGTTAGTAGGTGATGGGACAGCCTGGGACCAGTGTGCCTGCAGGGCTCATGGTGCCGTACAGATCAGTGCAGGCCAGGGCTTCAGCCTGGAGACCACAACTTTAGTCTGCTTAGGGAAGACAGGTAAGGAACCCTGCAGAGGATGGATGTGGCGGCTGCCCTGTGGGAGAGAGACTAGTAATCTTCCTAAGAGTCTTCAGAGAGCTAGGGAGCTGACAGGCTGAAGCAAGGCTCCCCCAGGACGTGTGTGCAGCTGTGTGGTGAGGATTGGGAGGTTTAAAGAGAAGGAGCTGACAGAGCTGCGATCCCAAGGGCACCTGAGCGGATAGTTGTGTGAGGAAGAAGAACTTCATGAGCATCCTGGACTTGCCTGTCTCACACGTCGTCTCATTTGCAGTAGGAGGTGATGCTGGAACTCGGGGAATGGGCATCAAGACAAGGCACGGGATAAGAAGCCAGAAAGGAGATGGGGGATGGCTCAGCAGTTAACATATTTATTGCTTTTCCAGAGGATCTGGGGTTTTGTTCCCAGCGCCCACATGGTGACTCACGATGTTTCTTAACTTGAGTTTCAGGGGATCTGACACCTTCTTCCAGCTCTTTAGGTGTCGGGAATGCACACGGTCCACACACATACATACAGGCAAAACATACGTGCACATAAAATAAAACCTAAAAACACAACACCAAGCAAGGAAGAAAGATCTAGGGTGTTTGTGCATCTCTTTGTGGGGTTGTTGTTTGTTTTCTTTTATTTCTCACGTTTGTTTTGAGGCAGGGTCTCACTATGCAACCCTGGCTGTCCTGGAACTCACAAAGATCCTCCTGCCTCTGCTTCCTGAGTGCTGGGATCAGAAACGTGCACCAGGGTGCCCAGCTGCTATGGATTTTATAGAAGGTTGTCAATGACTAGGATTGGGTTCTGAGTTAACATTGTCAAT